AAAAAAACACAAAAGACAATTTTCATTGGAGACTGTTGAGTTTTTTTTTATAACCAACAAAAACGGCGACGGCTCCGTGGCGCAGTGGCTTAGCAATCAGTTGTTGTGCTGGTGGCCGCAGGTTCGAATCCCGCACGGAACAAGTATTTGTATAGCCTACAAATAATTGTTCCGGGTCTGGATGTTTGTCCTTGTTGTTGCCTCCACGACACAGGAGAAAATCCTAGTGTGGGGGTAACGTTTTTTTAATAAACAAACAAACAATAAACAAACATATACTTATAAATAAAACTGTTTTAAGTTATAGATTTAAATAACATTTTTATATCGCATATTGTATGCGTTAAAAACATTACTGCGGATACTTTGCTTGAATGTGGTTTTAATGTATTAACTTTTGCATAATAAACTGTTTAATGTACTGTTTATACTGTCCATGGACTGTTTATTGTGTTGCTTTTCCTGCATAATAAACTGTTTATTGTAAATACAAAAGAATTGAATATTTGTTTAATATTTAAAAAAATATATACTATTATTTATGTCAAACATCAAACGAATTTTAAATCAAAGGACAAATCAATTCAACTCTGACTTATAATAAAGCAAGAACGTACATATTTATGCAATAAAGTAGAAACAGCAACAAAGGCTCTGAATTGTATGATATTCGTAGCATGATACGGGTCTGAAAATCAGAACTGCCAGATTGTATAACTAAATTGTAAGTTTGGAATTGGTTGCAAATATTTTGTATATTCGAAATATACAAAATATTTGCAAATACCGTGTAATTTCGAAATAGCTGGCATGCTATTAAGACATAAATAACCATTTTTTTAATTGTCTGTCTGTATGTCTGGGCTAATCTTCGCAATGGCTGAACCGATTGTGATAAAACGCTATGAACATATAGATGGAATGCTAGTAAGGATCTAGGCTCTATTTTAGAGATTATTTTTTGATTAAAAGAAAATGTAATCAATATTATTACTTATTTTAATTCCCGACATTTCGGTTGCTTTACAGCTCTCATGGCTCGAGGGGCGAGGGGATGAGGAGGGGGGGGGGGGGCTGATGTAATTTTGAATTTTAATTTTTAATCATACATAATAATATTGGATTTTTGAATGGGGGAATTTATCTTGACACGCCTTTTGATGCATCATTTTATAATTTTGAGTTGTGTTCAGGAAGATGCTCCTGCCCATCTCCTGTTACAATTTCCCGGGATGATATGGGATAGTAAATATGCTTATACCGCCAGCAGTACACACATATCTATACATACCATGCATAGACTATATTAATTGATCGACTTTGACCTCTCATACAATAAATAAATTCAAATATGCCCCTAGAATCTTATCACGCAGCAACTTAGTCCCAAAATTATAGCTCGTTAAGATAAACTGCAATATTATGTTAATAAAGTTGTTTTAACTAAAATATCTAGTATTTACATATTGTTTACAAAACAATATGTTTGCTAAATGATAACAAAATTGCATTTGTTTCCATTCCTTTTATCTTTTGGAGATAACAAGAGTTATTATCAGCTACTTATTTATAGACAACAAAATGATTTATCATAATTAAAAATATGTGTAAAATTTTAAACATCTTGAGGTATAAACAATTGTATATAAATAGTTTATAATTCTATCGCTATAAATATGTATTCCTTTGTGCGAGCGTTGAAGAATCTTCGCGTGATTGTACGCGTACATTCTTTAACGGCATTTAGTGATAAAAAGGAAAAGCAATTAAACTTTGAGTTCAACATATTCTTAATCGGTTTTCTGTCGGCACCAGAAGTGTAGCAAATCCAAAAATCTAAATACTTATAAGCTATTTGTTTTGATTCCTGAAAACTCGTGCAAGAGGATATAAATAATAAAAAATAACCGAATATATTTAGTATATACATTTATTAAAATATTGTATATTAGTTTTATGTAACGATTATGAACTGTTTAATAATCTGATATATAAAAAATAATGTTTGTTAGTTGGTATTTTATGCGCTGCCATATCGTTCATCAGATTGCGCTAAAACTTTGTCAACTTATTGCTTGCACTTACGAGAAGGTATCGCGCGCGTATCGTACCGACAGTTATATATTATTCAACTTCAATGAATGTTTTATCATTCCTAATAAAACTATATAACTCTTCCAAATTTAAAACGATATTTCCACAATTATTTCTTCTACGGCAACGGTGCGCCGGGCACCAGCTAGTGTGAAATACTAATAAACGGCATAAATTCTAATTTTTTTTATAGAATAGTAGTGACATAGTCCTCCTGATGGTAATCATTTGCCATAGTCCTTAGATCTTAATTGAGAATAGATATATCTAGCTGTCTATCTAGATATCTATATAAAATGATGAAAAATATATAGAAGAGGCTTTACGAAGAGATTTTACGTGGTATAGCCATGCTGCAGCTATATTAATAGTATAGTTGTAGCACGAATGGGTCGGCTCGACCGGGGAAGGACCACGCTCTCACAGAATACCAGCGTAAAATAGCAGCTTAATGCTGCTGTGTTTCGTATGGTGAGTGTAGAAAACTGGAGACCTTTTTTACTGGAAAAGAGACATTCTATCTTAGTCCTCACGGCTGACAACGCATCTGCATTTTGGTTCGCAAGCGAGGATAGATGTAGATGTCTATGGGCCACAGCGACCACTTATCATTAGGTGCTCGTTTGTTACCCTAATTCTATAAAAAAGAAAAAAAGAGGCCTATGTTCAGCAGTGGACTTGTGAAGTGATTTAATGACGATGATCTAGATATATCTATTCTCGATTAAGAATCGAAATGCAACGCATCTGCATCTGTCAGCCGTGAGGACTAAGATGGGATGCGCCGTTTCCAGTAAAAAGGGTCTCCGGTTCTCTACACTCACTATACGAAACACAGCAACATTAAGATGCTATTTTACGCTGGTAGTCTGTGGGAGTGTGGTCCCTCACGGGTCGAGCCGCTCCATTGGTGCTGCAACTATAATATAACTTCAGGGTGGCTTTAACAGATGGTTGGTGGGACTCCACCCCTTTGTGGTTCATATTCAATAAAATATTATTCCTTGAAATAGTTAATCAAAATGTTCATTTTGATTAATTAAGTACGTTTTGATTAGTTAAGTAAGTACGCTACGTACTTGTATAACAGAGGTCAATGGTTGCCAAGTTAACCATCTAGTGGCAGTGTTTTACAATAATAACGGGAACTATAATGAGATGGCTAGTCTCCGTTGAGACTACGGTCTGGAGAATATTATTATTATTTTTCCATAAATAAACTCTCACGCTTGTTACCCAGAGGGATAGACAGAGACTACGGACTTCCATTTTTTTAAAGGGTGACTAAGTAGCACACAGTCCATCTGATGGTAAGTGGATGCTGAGGCCCATAGACATCTACATCTATCCTCGATTAAGAATCCTTGCCACCCATAAAGTATAAGATAGAATGCCTTGTTTCCAGTAAAAAGGGGCTCCGGTTCTTAACACCCACCATGTGAAATACAGCAGCATTGAGCTACTAGTTTACACTGATATTCTGTGAGAGCGTGCTCCTTCCCAGGTCGAGCCGATCTATTCATGCTACAACCATAATATGCACCATGACTCTACCACGTAAAAACGTGATACGATCTTGCGACACCTATCTCGCTTCTTTCACATCCATACTACATCTACGCTTAAGAGTACTAACTTGGCCTATATTCAATACTAGCTGATACCCGCGACTTCGTCTGCGTTGCTTACACACATCACTGAACACGTAGCGCTTATAAAGATCGTTGCTTCTTAAAACTTTATATTAAATGAAGAAATTGCAATATTTTTTTAGATAAGTGCCAAGTGTCTAAGAAATAAAAGTTAGAAAAGCTAATTGCAATCTATCCAGTAGTTTTTCTAACTGCGAACCTATATCTTAACCTACATATTTTATTTATATAGATAGATATCGCGAATTTGGTCAATAAACTTTCGTCCAGCGCCGCGTTTCAACTCTCTGCCACTCTTTAAAAAAACTAACAACATATGCCGTTACCATTTCATCATCCGTTAAATGTATTTATTAAACGTTAACTTTTTATGAGTAACAGGATTAAATAGCTCAAGTGCAAGATATGCACAATAAAATTTCCTCAGGGAATAACCTCTGTCCCAAACACGGAACACTAAACTAGCATTTAGCATTTAGATTGTATTTTTGATCATTGTGTAAATAAAAGTCCCACAATTACTCGTAACACAAATTTACTGAAATAATGCCAAGTATCGCCATCATATTATCATTAGACGTAGTGAATTATTCAGTGTGTGCAATAATTACCACTAATCATCTGGTGTGCTATGACGTGTAGTGGCGGTGTAAGAATATCCATTATCCACTACCCCATATCATCCCGTGGATGTCGTAAGAGGCGACAGAGGGAAACAAATCAGGAGATAGGCAGCAGTATCTACCTAACAACGATTGAAAAAACTGCGGTTGCCAACCCCCTGCCAAGCGTAGCAACTATGGCAAATTTCCCAAAAAGTGGACTTTAATAGGCTGCAACGACGAACATCGATCTGTGTGCTGTATTCCCTTGACCTTCTTTATAAAAACTGTAATAAGCTTTTGCTGGCAACTATAACTTTAACTATAATCTTACAAACTTTCAGAATAGTTTAATTTTTTTTTGCAATTTTTATGTTACACAATTTAAAAGTTATGAGAAGACAAGTGTGAATTAATATTTATCGGCTTAAAGACGTACACTTAATGTAGATATAGGAACAAATCATTTAAGAAACAAAACAAGGAGATACATTACTTATATCTTTTATTTCTTAAATACAACTGCACCAAACAGTGGCGGCTTTAGATTTGGCGGCTTTGCAAATATAGTCGAACGCGCTAAGACAAAATGAATTACTTAAATATATCAAAATTAGTAATTTTAAATTTGCTTTGATCCTACTTTAAGACATTAGAAAAAGACAGCACGACGTTTTCTTGCACTCGTTTCGGTTACTTTCTGTATCTTCTGGTATTTATCTATAGCAGTCTTCACAAAGTTGGCAGCAGTGCTGATCTTTTCCAAACGTTCAGGAGTAATGAAGGACCTCATTTCTTCATGTATAGGTCCGACTCCTTGGAACGTAATCGTACAAAGATCGGTATAAGAACAAACTCCTATAGTGAGAAGTGTCCCGATGAAGAGTACAAAGATACTGTTGAAAATCCATCCAATAGTTCTACCCATGAAATGAACTATTGTCTGAAAATAAAATTTAAGCACCGTTAGTTACTTACAGGAGTTATAATTATTTTTCACAGCTAACGAATAATATAACGCATCAATTTTGGTGTTGTTTCTAGAATTAGGGTGACAAACGAGCTCACCGTCCACCTGATAGTAAATGGTTGCTGTGGTCTATAGACATCTACATCTATCTACCCTCGATTAGTGATTGATCGATTGAGACGACTGAGGACTAAGATAGAATGCCTCGTTTCCAATAAAAATGTCTACGGTTATCTACACTTACCGTACGAAATACGCTGCTGCCCATTTCCTTGTTTGTTTCCCTCTGTCGCCTCTTGCGACACCCACGGGAAGATAAGGTGTATTACCAAACAAAATTATATGAAAAAGTGTTTCGTAAACATAATACTCACTCTAGAATCGGGCACTTGACTCCAGAGAAGTCCTAAAGTAGAAGTATCAGGCTCCAGAAGGTAATCGCTGAGGCTGTTTCCATATATATCATATCTGAAAACAACATAATACAATAAACTAAAATTCTTGACTAGTAGTAAAAAAAATTCAAAATATTTATTTTGTTTCTAAATTTTTTGCCTGCCATGCTAGGCGGATAGCTTACAGTGCCGGCATTGTAATGGCTCTGCGCTCGAAAACCCTCCCGCCCAGCGGGGTGAATAAATCCGCCAAGTAATGTATACCAACTTTTACTTTCAGGAAATGGCGTGTGTAGCGGTAGACTTCAAAAGGCAAGAAAACAAAGAAAAGATAAATAAAAAGAAGAAGAATTGAATGGATAAGACCTATATAGGGTTTTATAAAAGAAATAAGAAATTTAACAAAGTAAACTGCATATAAGGCAGTAAGTGCTACATACCCAGTACCATAACCGTAGCCAGGGGCGTATGGAATATCTGGATAGGCTACTTCAACTGGAGCGTAACCGTATTCAGGTAACGGCAGGTTGTCCTGGAAGTAAATAAAATATTGACATGGCCAAAATGCAGGAAGATGTTCAAAGTAAAAAAAATAAATTGTAAATTACTTCTCGTTTGTATTACGTATCCATTATACTATAATACTATTTTACATTATACTACTATTATACTATGTAACATAGTTTGTCTATAGTTTAATGTTATGTTACATAGTTTGTCTATAGTATAATGGTAGGCATGCGAGGCAGTTATACAGTATATGTACATATACTATATGACTTCCTCGTTGGTCTAGTGGTTGTAGTAGTGCGACTGCTGATCGTAAGGTCCCGGGTTTGAATCCCGAGTCGGGTCAAAAAAATCAGTTATTGAATTTTTCCATCAAGAAATTATCAGTAGCTGCCCGGAGTCAAGAAGTTGGCGGTGTTACACCCCCGTGCCTCGGAAAGCACGTATTGCCGTTGGTCCTGCGCCTGATCTCTCTCCGGTCGTATCGGTTTACCGTCCCATCGGACTATGAGAGTGAGGGACTAGAGACTGTATCTGTGCTTGCGCATACACTTGGGCACTATAATCCTGTCCTGCGCCGATGGCTAGTTTTCGTTGAGACTGGCTGTCGTGATCAAAATTCGGTCTAAAGGACATTATTATTATTATTATAGAACACGTAAAATATATATAAATATATTATAAATACCTATTTTATTGTAAAAATTAAAAAACACAACAAGTACATAGAAAACCAAAAAACAAGTACATTTAAACCTTTAATGATAGAAATATTATTAATGGCCTTTTACTTTTCATAAAATAATTATATGCAAGTGCACACATCTCGTAGATTAGAAAACATATTAAAATCACGCGAGGCTTAGAGCTACAGAAGAGCTAAAAAGTTTATTTATTTCTTTATATTTTTATACTAGGTATATCAAATTATCGATTAAGGAATAGGTATAATAAATAACGTTTAGTAAAAACTTACAACTCTGTTAACTTCAGTCACTGAAACAGGTTCATCAGCCAGCATATCATGTTTTATTATTGCTCCATGAGACCTTACTGGCTCTATCCTCGCTCGTCCTTCGTTCTTGTAATCGTCAGCTCTATAAACCGGATGATGTTCTTTCTCTTGTTTTGTTTGTTTATTAAAAACTTGATGAGTATCGATGGGTTCATTTTCGAGAGTCGGTTTGAATGTGGATTGCTTTTCTAGCAATGTATATGACGACGGAATTTCGGCTGACAAGACTGCGTAAATTATAGTTAAAAGTACTGTTGCTAGTTTATACATCTGAAAATATTACGAAAATTTTAACTAATTCATATTTTGTAGTAATATTTAAATTGAAATACGTAGGTACATAATAGAACTTACTTTTAAGTACTCTGTGTACTTCACTCGTCGGTTTCTTAAAAGTTAATGCTTGTTATAATTTCATCCATTTCTATTTATAGCAGGACAAACCTATGACAAGTCCTTATTCCTATCAGTTTATCTCCAGGACATTGTTTCTCAATAGTATACGATATCCGAAAAACAGATAAAACATTCGTCAAAGCGTCGGAATGTGAAACGGTTATAGTTCCAAAATTAAGAAAAGAATGTAATATATAAACTCTCGCTACTTTGTCAACTTAAATGATAAAATTTTTGTAAAATAAAATATTGCGATATACTTTGGTAACACAAAAAAAATAATTGATTGTGACCGATTTTAAGAATTTGTCAATCATAAAAATATACATAACATTTTTTATAGAATTAGGGTGACAAATGACCACACAGTCCACCTGATGGTAAGTGGTTGCTGCGGCCCGTAGACATCTACATTTATCCTCAATCAAGAATGAAAATGCAGATGCGTTGTCATCCCTGAGGCCTGAGATGGAATGCCTATTTCCAGTAAAAAAGGTTGTGTTTAGTGTGGTGAGGTTCTCTACACTCACCACACTAAACACAGCAGCATTAAGCTACTATTTTACGCTGGTGTTCTGTGAGAGCGTGGTCCTACCCCGTTCGAGCCGACCCATTCGTGCTACAATCATAACATAGCTGCAGCGTGACTCTACCACTTATAAAATAGCTGCAGCGTGGCTCTACCACGTATAATATGCGAAAACTCATGTAGTTTTAAAAAGTATTGTCTTTAATTATTGCAAAAAGAGAATTTTTCTAATTCAGTTTTATCAGTTATTAGTTATTACTTAATGATTCATTTCTTTGAACATTTGACTGAAGCAGTTTGGTGGGCGAAATACACACGAGTACGTAACTAACATATTTATTTACTTTTATATTTTTTTCTATTTAAATACTTTAGGGCGGACTTAATCAAATGATGTGTCTTACTTAGTTTGAAGAGCTCCTTCTCACTACTCCCAACACCACTACACTAGGAAATACACACCACCGACGATATTACAATAACGCTCAATAAAATAAAATGATGTGTCTTACTTACTTTGAAGAGTAGTCAACAAGTAGCCCCCGCCTTCCCTCTATTGCATGCACTATCCCCGTCACCACTAATCCCAGCACCATTACTCCCAACACCACTACACTAGGAAAGACACACCACCGACGATAATACAACTCTTTACTAACTTTAATATAATGGATTTCCACAAAGTAACGCCTGGTTCTATTAATTAACTTAATTATTTGTTATAAATCTACGTGTATTCCAAAGAGGGCTAATAATTTTACGCAGACCTCTAGTGGGGACTTAGGTGAACTTATTTATAAGGTATACAGATATGCTCACACAGTGGCATCATCATTGAAAAGTTGTTTTTTCAATAGGAGTTTTGTTTTATTCCTACTGTATGTTAATACGCTAAACACAGGTATTGTTTAGCATATTAACATACACTAGGAATAAAGTGCTGTGTTGTTAAATTTTTTACACATTTTTAACTTTTTTAATTCTCCTACTTTTATGAACACCCGTAGTTTGGTTTATTCGTTTTTAATCGAATTAATATAAAATATAAATATTTCAGAAAGAAACTTTCATCTCTCAATTTTTCTAACAAATTATCTTCACCCGTTATGAAATCTGTCAAACGCTTCACCTCATACATCACAGTGGCGTCGCGTCACCCTGATCTGATAGCAGCAAGTTATGGACGCCCCAATCATAACAATTATTTAACAGTTTCATAAATTCTCACGATACCTTGAAACGACTGTCATCGATACGAAAAATATAAAAATCGATACTTATTTATATTTCAAAGAAAAGCAATTGTCAGGCAACTGTAGCTCTTATTTAAGAAGTTATAAAGAAGGTATTGTACTACATACCACGTTTATTTATTTTTAATATGGGGTGAAAATGAATACCTATTCAGTGAAGAAAAATTCGATTCGCTCCGTCACCAATGAAATTGCTCGGTACATGGTGGTAAAAGAAAACAAATCAATGAGCAAATCCTTAATGTGTTTGATAACTTTAAAATATATAAGTACATTGAAGCAGCGCAGCGGACTGTTCCTTGCTCCAAATCTGAGACAAATCTTGCGTCTAGTTATGGGTACTCTATAAGCATAAGCTGTTGCTCTAAGTACTAGACTTACATTTTCATGAATTTAAGGCTTTAAACTTATTTTCTTTTATAAATATTTGTAGTGTCTTATAATATCTAGGTTCCCTACTCTAATTTAAATCTATAATGTGAAAGTCAGTCCTTGAATCGATGCAGCAATTTAATAATCATTATCAATCTTTTGCTTGGCTGTAATGATGATGATGATGATCAATCTTTTGTTAATGATGAAGTCCTTTTTTTCAATTTTCGATATCACTGAAGACATATTCCGTATAATCTATATCTATATATGTATACTATCCGTGTTAGAACTTAGTAATACGAGTACTATTAGGCAACTTTACCACACATATAATATATATGTGCCCGTGTGGACGTAAGTATTAATGCACACAATCACTTTAACCATATGCTATAATCTAACAATATCCGATACATGGTGTTGCGATAAGATCGGTAATAAGCTAGAAGTTAAAACACGGCAACATTCGCAACAGCACCAGATAAGAAAACCAATAAATTTGTATTTGTGCATAAATGTTAGCTACGCTTAAGATTCGAACCCATAACATTCTGAAACCAGATATTCCTACAACCGAGCCATGCCGCTCGTTATTTCTTTCTAAGAAGTGTAACAACGAGCCGTTATAGCTCAGATGGTTAGCGCTCGCTGTAAGTTTCACAGTACACGAGAAACCCGCCGGCACCTATGAAATTGTTAATTGCAATTTTAAGTGCTGATTTACCACATGTTCGGCGGTGAAGTAAAATATCGTGAGGAAATCTGCATGTCTGAGAATAAAAGAAAAAAAATATTTCAAAGACATGAGAAGTTCGTCAATACACATTGGCAGTGCGGCGGACATTTCCTTGCCCTAAAACCCTCTCAGAAATGAGAGGAGGCCTGTGCCTAGCAGTGGGACGTATATAGGCTGTCACTTTACTTTACTTTTAGTATCACAACGAGAAATGAAAATCTCGTATCTGCTAGATAGCGACTTACAGCTTTGTTGCTTTATAACGTTTATTATGCTAAGTTCATCAGTTTAAAAACACATTTACTTCTGTCTTACTTAACTTTCTCCATTTTTACTTCGTAATATTGAAATATGCATAGTAAATTTTGTCATTTAAAATTCAAACACCTATTGGTCAAATACTAATGGAAAGTTTAATAGTAAGTTTTAAATGACATCAAAATACTTAAGTAATGAAGCTCTTAAACTAATTATTTGATATAGATACATAAATACAAATCTATAACTTGAAGTTATATCGTGAAAGGTTTGTATGTAAACTCAAATTCCAATTCTATTGATAAGAAGTTTGAATAACACGCGATGTTTGGACAATGTTCGACGTGAAAAAGTTCACACTGTTTTAAATCGTCCTATCTCTTTTGTAAATTACATTATTGATTATTCCATAGAATAAAACTGTAGAGGTCAGCTCCAAACTCAATATTAAAAAAAACTAAGCTTAATTTTTAATAAATCATTAAAGAAATGTCATGTATATTTTAAAATAACTTATTTAGAAAATAGAAAAACGCATTATTTGCTCAAGTATTGCGAATTAAAAATAATTACATCTGTAAATTGTGTTTTTTTTTATACAAGCGAGGGTGACACAGGACACATAATCTAATCAACTTCATGGAAAGTTATGTGTATGTATTTTTGTGTATGTATTTTTAGTGTATGTATTTTTTTGAAATGTTAGTGGTAGTGATGTTAGCCTTTTAGCTTTTACAGTTTCATCTGCCTCAATAGTACGCCCATGCTCAAGGCTGATATGTCTGTCACCCCTGAGACCTAAGATGGGCCATAACCCGTAGAAGGGTCACCAGTTTTCGGCGATTAAAAGTCAGAGTTATACATGGTTATTTTGCAATAACCCTATATAACTATGTATGTACTTATAAGAATAAGTAATATAGGCAAACAGTGAAGAAAAATTAATTATAAAAAATCGCTAACATGCTGTACTTATTATCTTTTATATTTAAAATGCGTGGTAATGCATTATTTTAACTGATTTTACTGCGCACGCACACATTCGTAAGGGTCAATCGGTAGACAAAAACGTTGTTGCCCATAAATCACATTCTATTTGGGATAATTTCAAATATAAGTAGAAGCCTTATTTACTAGTATTTTCAAAAACTCCAAATACGGTGGTATATCATTATTTTTATATCAACATAAGTCTAAAATTTGGCTACTCTTTGAAAAATAACCCTGTATATTACATTTAGGAAACATAAGATGGTCTAAGAACGTACGGTATGTTACGGTACCATTTAATCAAATTGTACTTTAGCGTAAAATAGCAGCTTGACACTGCTGTGTTTCGTATGGTGAGTGTAGAGAACCGGAGACCCATTTTACTAGAAAAGAGGCATTCCATCTTAGTCCTCACGGGTGGCAACGCATCTGCATTTTGATTCTTTGTTGAGGATAAATATAGATGTCTATGGGCCGCAGCAACCACTTACCATCAGGTGGACTGTGTGCTCGTTTTTCATCCTATCCTATAAAAAAAACCGTACGTTAATTCCTTTTAAGCATAGAAATATAAAGAAGTAAATTGGTGGACTTCACATTATGTCTTCGAAATATATTTTTTTAATTACTTAGACATACAGGTTGCCTCATGATGTTTCCCTTCACCGTCGAGCGAGTGGTAAATCAGCAATTAAAATTGCAATTAACAATTTCATTGGTGGCGGTGGGGATT